GGGGGGGGGGGGGGGGGGCAAATGTTACGAGATGAAAATTTTCTCAAACACGGGTCTCCTTTTTGAGAAGGTTAAGGGTGCTGTGAATGCTCTACCAGATTTTGGAACGAAACACCCAAACACCAAGTCCAGGATCTATGCAGATTCTCTGACGAGTGTCTGCAGCCAGAGCAGATGCCGTGTCCCACTGGGGACACGGCAGGCACAGGGAGTGAATCCGTCCTGGGACCTCTCCGTGGAAACAAGCTCAGTCAAGAACTTGCTTGAAGGTACCGCTTACCAATCTTGAAGATTTTTATCTAGTGTTAAATTCATAAAGAAAAAGAAATCCCGAATCTAAACTGTGGATTTAGTTCCATAAATCACACTGTGCCGGTGTCCCAGAAAACCCAAAGCCTGCTGCTCCCCAACTAGCAGAAGCCTAAGGTTGATAACTCGTTCCTGCAGGCCTCACTATGAGAGCACGACGACAGAACTAGACGTGTTAACTTCAAGCCCAGTCGCCTAGCATCCTACAAATGGAAAGAGCAAGCTGCCCTCCAGCAAAGCGTCCCGACCACAAAGATACGGAAACAAGAACGACTTAACCCAGAGCCACGCTTGGAGCCATGGACATGCAACTCCCCTTCTGACCACATTATAATGGTCCAAATGGATAAGACGCTGCTCAGCAGGGCTGTTTTACTGCCAGGAGGATGAAGCCTTGCCCTGAAGCTTGGCCCTGGAGGTGCCAGAGTCCCCTAGGATGAGGCGAGGAGGTCATCTTGCAATTAGAGAGCAAGGACACAGCCCCGAGCAGTCACCTTCTCCTCTGATTTGAGGGCTGGTTTGGTGGGCTGAGCCTGTGGGACTTTGAAACCAAGGATCTCCAGCATGTTCTCGGCTGCGTTGCGTTTGGCCACCTTCTTATTGGTGCCTGTTCCTTCCGCGGTATGGTTTCCCACCTTCACCTGCATGAGGACGAAGTCAGGGCTCAGACCAGTGCTTACGCCTTCAGAGTAAAGACCGGTCAGGCATCGGTGTGCTGGCAAAAGAACCCGGCAACGGTCAGAAGCTAGATGCTTAACAGCGGTGCCCCGGGGCAGGCCTGCGGCGGCCTGCAACGCACGGTGAAGGCAGCCCCTCCGACACACTAGACCACGGCAGCTTATAACGACTGTGACCAACAGAGCTAAAGGAAGTCGTCACTTCCTAACGGGACTACATCTCACAAATATCTGTGCTTCTGAGGTCCTCTGCATCCGTGGCATCTGCTCGGTGGAAATATTACCGGGGTGCGCTCCCGCACGCTCCCCTTCCCAGCCCCGGGATCCAGGTGCCACGGTGGGAGTATTTACACCAAAGATCTGCGAATACAGCGCAGCAAGCACTCGGTTGTTTTGCTGTCTACTCCAGACTTACAAGACGGAGAAAAGGTTAATAATGCAAATTAAGCTTAAAAGCGTGTCAAGGCCGCAGCCGTGGCACTGTAACTAGCACAAAAAACTGGGGACGTCTGTCCAATCTTTGAAAATTATTCAATTCAATAAAGTCACTCATTGTTTAAAAACGAGTGAAGTTCCAACATTTCTTTGTTGTTGCACTTTCATCTTGTTTATGTAAACAAAACAGTCAATACCCATGCTAAGACTACAGTCCTTTGTCAGCAACATGAGCAACTTCTTTGCTTGAACTGGACAGTAGTAATGAAGCATTTGTGTGCAGCCTGACTTTATACTACTCAAGATGACAGTTACACTGAAGTTACAGATGTATAAAATTGACAGTCAAGAGAACATGTATTTTATATATTATTTGTAAACTGTATGCTGCGCATCCTTTGTCAGTGAAATTTATAACACACACACACACATCCATAAACACACACGCGCCCGGCCCCCTTCCCACTGTGCCACCCACCCCTAGACAGCTGATTGTTAAACATATTCCAGCATATACCACTGCTTACAATCCCCTTCCATGCTGGTCTTGAGCACAGACCAGAACCAAAAGCCCCACGTCACAGAACTGAAAATCAAGGAAACCTTCTCTGGCCAGTGACAAGGGCTCGGGGGTTGAATCCTGGCCTCGCTGTCTACCAGCTCTGATCTTGGTCAAATGACCGATTGTCCTGGCACGCTGCAATCTTCCTCGGTAGCACAGAAGGACCATTACTTTTCTGGCCTTCTGACTGGGTAGGCTAAGTGACGGTGCTTCCAAAGTTGTAAACTGCTACACAAGAGTTAAGTACTGGGTTTTTCACCAGAAAACACTATTAAATTCAAATCACGATCAAAGTGAGCTGCCCATATGAATAACTGTTTAATGAGCATAAGGAGAAACACTCTGCACCCATCTGAATGAAGTGTAATCCCAATGTAAGGAAGATCCAACAACCCTAGACTCCAGATTTGACAGAAGGATTAAGAGAACAGGAACAGATCCTCTGATATAACTTGTAAAATTTATCTTCTGAAAAGAATAATATAAACCTTCAAGGAGATGTAATGAAGAGAAGCGTTCACCCACAATCCCACAGTCCTCGCACTCACACACTCCAGCGGTATGTCCAAGCTCCCACCTGCTGATACAGCAGCACGTGTGGTGCGCACACAAGTATGTTTTAAGGCGTCAGATTACTGCAAGTGCCACGGTCTTATTATTGATAACGCCTGATGGCAGGGAGCAGGGCCCACTGGAGCAGAGCTCCTCATCCAGCCTCCTCAGGGAAGCATCCAGCCGCTGGACCTGGCCCAGCCGAGATGGGATGTGGTCAGAGGAAGTCTGCCCATAACCCACGCCGACCTACCTGCATCACAAACTCTCTGCGGCGTGGGAGGCCTCGCTCCGTCAGAAGCATGTACTCCGGCTCCTTCTCCTTTTTCGCCTGCTGGATCTGGGCCAGCCTGCTGATCGGGTTCATCCCCTGGCCATAGTCTGTGCTGCTCTGTAGCTGAGGAACAATTAATGTAAAATCCACGTGCCATGTTAGTCGCAGAAAGGACTTTGCCAACTTAGAGATTGGGACGTGACAAGAGATTACTTTTATGTTGATCTAAGGGCCCGAATTAATCAGACCTTTTTAAAACTTTTTTTTTTTTTTTTCAACGTTTATTTATTTTTGGGACAGAGAGAGACAGAGTATGAACGGGGGAGGGGCAGAGAGAGAGAGGGAGACACAGAATCGGAAACAGGCTCCAGGCCCTGAGCCATCAGCCCAGAGCCCGACGCGGGGCTCGAACTCCCGGACCGCGAGATCGTGACCTGGCTGAAGTCGGACGCTTAACCGACTGTGCCACCCAGGCGCCCCTTTAAAACTTTTTTAAAGTTAAAAGATGCTCAGTGACTTTCTAGGATTGCACTGAGGTTGACTTTTTTAAAAGTCTTCCTGGCAAACCAACATCAGTATTTCACTACGAGCAGACAACTATCGTAATGTCTGCTTTTTGACAATAAATTACATCACAATGGAGAAAAGAAATACAGGACACTATTCCTAAAACTCCCCCGAAAGTCTGTTATAAAGATGGGTCCCCAGCTTTCTTAGCAATGATTCAACATCCAAAAACTATTAAAAAAAACCCCAAGCTGACACCCAAGAACCCCACCGTTCCTTCCCAGTGGCCACCTTCAGCGCCACAGAATCCTCACCCACAGACTCACGCGGATATGAAGAGCAGAAAGGAAAGTGCAGCAGTGAGCAGAGTGCTCGCTTTTGTGTCCTGGCCTTGACACAGCATCAAACTACAACTGGCCCTTGAGCAGCAAGGGTCTGAACCGCCAGGTCCACGCACAAGCGGGTTTTGCTTTTTCTTTCTTTTTGATAAATACACTATAGTATAGCATACTCAATGTATTTTCTCTTCCTCACGACTTCCTTAATAATGTTCTTCTCTCCCACTTACTTTATTGTGCAAATACAGCATAGAATACACATATGTATGTAACAATATACAATACATAAAATGTGTTAATCGACCATTTATGTTATTGGTAAGACTTCTGGTCAACATGCTATTAGTGGTTATGCTCCTAGGGAGTCAAAAAGTTAAACCCTGGTCTTCCGCTGTATGTGTGTGTGCGCGCGTCGGGGGGGGGGGGCGGTCGGCAACCCTAACCCCTGTGCTGTTCAAGGGTCAACTCGTATTGACAGTCGTGACAGAGCAGACCCTAGTATCCCTAAATATGCCCGAATGGACTCCTGCCCCTTCTCTGGGTGGGGAGGAGGGGGCAGGTCCACTGACACGGCTTAAAAAAATCCCGAAGAATCAGGTGGTGTTTGGTGAAACGTCTCATTCGTCCGCCTGTCCCCAGACGTCTTTCCTCCACACTCACACCAGTGCCAGGGGCGGTGAGGTGGAGTGAGGACGACTTCGCCATCCTGTCTGCAGATGGGCACTCCTGTAGTCACACCCTCATCCGCCGATGTGTGCGCACACCTGCGGGGGCCCCGCCGACCCCACCCCAGCTCGGGGTCGCGTCTGCCTGACAGGGAATGCTCCCGGGAGAGCTGCACGAGGAGGCCCCGGCGCCCGGACTGGCAGGTGGCACGTCAGCGGCCATCTGCTGTCACTAGGATCCGCCACCTAGTGAGCCTTCTGAAGCCCCCAGCCGTCTGTGGGCAATGGAAATACCCTCTTCGTTCGGGAAGGTTCTTACCCTGACTATGGATTTTGTTTTCTTTTTGATTCTGGGCTTCACTCGCTCGACTGTGGGCAGGGGTGGCAACTTCTTCAGCTCCTCAAGAACAGCTATGGCAGCATTTTTCTTCGAAATCTTCTTGCTCTTCCCTTCACCTTCTCCCACAAACTCCCCAACTGACACCTTGGTCACGAAGCTCTTCATGTGGGGGGGGCCACTCTCCCGGGCAACCTGGTTTAGAGGGAAAGACTGAGTGAAAGCGCGACAGACACCTCCTGCAAGCGGCAGGGCACGCTGCTTAGCGCACTACCTCCCGGGAAACACCGGCCAAGGGGAGTTTCGGTAAGACCCGTGAAATGAAGGGAGCACACGCGTCAGCAAAAGGAAACAGTGATAACCCTGAGTGCTCTTCTCCCCTTGTTCGTTATTTTCCAGACTTCTTAATATTCTTGGGTCTGATCAGTCCCAGTTAGCATCAAAGAAATGGGAAGCAAGTTCTGCTCCCGTCCTCCTAGCACAACGGTTCCCATCTGTGTCCCCAGGTCACAGACTGCTCTGAGTTTGGGGAGACCCACTGCAAATGGCAGGAAGGCAGCCGTCCCAGCAAAGCCCAGAAATAACTGCGACATAAAGAGTTCAAGTTTAATATTTGCTCTGAGCCTCAAGCCAAGACTGAGCTTATTAAATACTGGCTGCTATGCATCCAGCCACAAAAAAGAACGAGAAACTTCTAAGCACTGGCAGGGATTTCCAGTACACAGTAAGAAAAGCAGAAACTGCAAAAGAGTTTATATAGTACCCTAACTTTTGCGTTAAAGAAAAGATTTGTATATACACACTTATATGTAAACAGACACACACGTGTGTTTATATACTTATTTTTGCAAAAAGAAACACAAGATGGATAAAGCAGAAACCAACAGAATTAGTTCCCTACAGCAAGTGGGAGGGATTGGGGTAGAAAGGGGACAGCATGATACTGCTGAATGTATCTTTGTGCATAGTTTTGACTTTTGGTTTTACATATTAAAATATAAAAAATAAGACCACAATGATGAGAGAGAAACATTAAAATTGAGTATGAACAGAAACCTAAGTATAAAGTTATTCCAGGAACACACAGAGGGAAAAGAAAAACTGACTCCAACTTACATTAGCTCAGATGGTCTTGAAAAGAACAGCTAAGTTAGAGGACTCACACTACCAGATTTCAAGACTTCCCATTAAGTTGCAGCAACCGTGCCCTCACGGTATTGTTTACGGGCAAAGAAAGAGATCAATAAAATAGAACAGAATGCAGAAACAGACCTGCACACATATGGTCTCGTGATTTCTGGCAAACACACCACAGTGCACCAAAAGTCTTTTAAATAAAAAAAGCAACTAGATATCCTCATGGGAGAAGCACAGTCTCAAACTCCACCACAAACAGGTAACTGGAGCCGGAACACAGACCTAAATGTGAAAGCTCAAACTATAGAGCTCTCCAAAGTAAACAGGAGAACAAGTCATGACCACGAGAGTAGCAAAGAGCTCTTGAAAGCACAAGGTACCAGCCATAAGGAAAACAAAACTGAAGGTCTTCGAAATTAAAAACTGCTCGTCACGGGGTGCCTGAGTGGCTCAGTCGGTTGAGTGTCCGACTTCGGCTCAGGTCATGATCTCACGCTCGTGAGTCTGAGCCCCGCGTCAGGTTCTGTGCTGACAGCTTAGGGCCCGGAGCCTGCTTCACTGTGTCTCCCTCGCTCTCTGCCCTCCCCCGCTTGTCTTCTCTCTCTCTCAAAAAACAAAAACAAAACCAAAACTGCTCATCAACAGATGACGTGTAAAAAATACAGGGAACCCATAGAAGGGGAGAGAGTACTTGCAACGTGTGTACCTGACAGAGGATTTATACCCAGAATACTGAAAGAACGCCTCAAGTGAACAATAAAAAGACCAACTACCCAATTAAAGAACACCTGACCACACACGTTACAAAACAAGATCTCCAAGTGGCCAATAAGCATGTGAAAAAGTGATCACCGTTTGTCATCAAGGAAATGCAAACTGAAACCACAATGCAATACTATAATATCCACACCCCCCAAATGGCTGAAATCAAAGCAACTGAGAGTATCGAGTGTTCACAAGGATACAGAACAGCTGGTGGGAGCATATACTGTACGACCACTTTGGGAAACAGCTTGACAATTTTTATTGAACACCTGCCCTGGGCCTTGGCAATTCTGGGTGCACATATACACAAGACTTGGTTTTATATTTTATACACAATGGTTCCTAAAGTGGAAACAAGTCACATGTCCATCAGCAGGACAATGGATAAACACAATTTTACATTATTCACACGGTGAAATGTCACATAGAAAAAAACTACTGACACACGCAGATGAGACTCAACATCAAACTATCCATATCATATCATTCTATTTACGTGAGGTCCAAGAACAAAGAAAATGAAGCTACAGTTATATCAGAAAGAGCTTCTTCTGGGTGGGTAATGTGAAAAGGGCACAGGGACGGCTGGAGGTTACGGGAGCCCTCCAGATCTGGACCCAGGCGATGAGTCTCGGGCTTGTACAGAGGTAAAATCGAACGGGCTGTGCACAGAAGACATGCGTGCCTGCCTGCAGAGGAAGCTTGTTTCACCAGACCGACGGCAGGAGATCTCAGTATGAAATTCGGAATGGAGAGGAAGAGCCTATGATGCTGGACTGAAGTGAAGGTACATACAGGGATCTTCTAGAGTTACCTGCCCACAAGGCCTCGAAGCGAGGACTCTCCTTCCGGCAGCAACCAGCACGCCTGGCACCCCTTGCTGGTCCCCACGTGCCACTCTCTGTGGAAGGGACCCAGGGCTCCTCGCAGGAACAGCTGGGGCCATTTCTGTTTGAATTTCCATTTCCACTGGCACCAAAGCTTGAGCGGGGCAAGTTCAAAGCTAAAACGTTTTGTTGCACCAGAAGGTAGTACGTTCACTCAGACTCTGAAGAGAGGTGGTGAGGAGCACGCGTGCAGGGATGACGAGGCCCACAAACAGGAGAGGAAGAAAACACCTCACAGCACACAGAAAAACTGTAACTCAAAATGAATCATGAACCTCAATTTCAGAGCTGAAACGACGAAACTTCTAGAAGAAAACACAGGAGTATGACCTTCGGTGAGGCAAAGGTAGCTAAGGTTGCACAAAACCACGACAAAACAAAAGAAAAATTAGGCAAAGGCGACCTTGCTAAAATCTCTTTGCTGTTTGGAAGATACTGTTTAAAAAATACGAAGGCAAGTCACGTGCTGGGAAAAAGTATTTGGAAAATACCTATCCGATAAAAGGGTTGTATTCAGAATATGGAGATAACCCCCAAAACTCAAAAATAAAAAACTCAGTAATAAAACTGACAGAAGGTGTGAACAGACGCTCCCCCAAGGGAGACGCGCAGATGGCAAAGCAGCACAAGAAAGACGCTCGGCATCACCGGGCCGCACGGAGCCCCAACTGCACCGCCACCGGTTGCTACCGCACGCCTGCCAGAAGGACCGAGTCTTTGTAAACGGACAACACCAAGTGTCGGAGGGGACGCAGAACGACGACGACACCCCCACACGGTTTGACAACATCTTATAAAGTTAAAGATACAGATTTATCATGCAACCCAGCAAATTCAATCCCAAGTTTTTACTCAAGAGACACGAAAACACGTCTCTACAGACGTGCATGTGTGTTTACGGTAGCTCTACTCACTGTCACCAACAACAGAAGCAACCCAAATGTTCTTCAACAGGGCGGTGCGTCCGCACAACTGGGAACTCCTCGAGCAATAAACACAGAAACTACTGATCTTTGCAACAAAGACACTCGAGACCTGTGTTAAGGTAAAGCAGCCAGACAAAAGGCAATAATTCCATTTTGTAATTCCATTTGTGTCACGTTGTGTGTGACAAGAGCAGAACCGTGGGGACAGAAAGAGGCCAGCGGTTGTCTGAGGCCGAGGACGGAGGAGAGGGACGGGCTGCAAAGGGAGTCAGGGCAGCTCTGTGGTGAGAGAAGTCTCAGGTGGTGACTGCAGCGCTGTTTACACAACTATCTACATTCATCAAAACACATCAAAGTGTGGAGTAGGGAGAATTCTACTGTATGAAAATTACACCTCAAAAAAGCTAACCCCTCACTTCCAATAACATCCCATAGGAGAACGTCAAAGGACACAGGAGCCAGCTGAATGGCAATGGGAGTATCAACACGAACGGTGATAATAACGATCTATGGTTTTCTTTCTTCTTTCTTTTTAAAAATGTTTATTTGGGGCGCCTGGGTGGCGCAGTCGGTTAAGCGTCCGACTTCAGCCAGGTCACGATCTCGCGGTCCGTGGGTTCGAGCCCCGCGTCAGGCTCTGGGCTGATGGCTCGGAGCCTGGAGCCTGTTTCCGATTCTGTGTCTCCCTCTCTCTCTGCCCCTCCCCCGTTCATGCTCTGTCTCTCTCTGTCCCAAAAATAAATAAACGTTGAAAAAAAAAATTAAAAAAAAAAAAATGTTTATTTTTTGTGAGAGCGCGCGCATGCACACAAGTGAGGGAAGGGCAGAGAGAGAGGAAGAGACAGAGAATCCCACGCAGGCTCTGTACTGTCAGAGCAGAGCCCCATGTGGGCTTGACCTCACGAACCTTGCGATCATGACCTGAGCCGAGATCGAGCCGGATGCTCAACCAACTGAGCCACCCAGGCACCCCTTCTTTTTTTTAAAATGTAAGCTCCAAGGATCAAGAGTCACACACTCCACCGACTAAGCCAGCCGGACACCCCCTAATGACTGACGACAATAATGAACATCTTGAATAAAAAAGCAGCAGTGGACCTCTGCTAATATAAATTAATGTTGTGGAAGGTTCTTCATGTGGAATGTCAACCTGCAAATGCAGAAAATGTACCATAGTAGTCCCTGATGCCAGGAAGAATGATCAATGACTAGATTCATTGGGGAGGTCTCTTAGGGAACAACCTTCAAGAGGCTCCTCGAAGGTTATGAATTACAAAGAGAAAGTCTCCTAAGGTGAAGCATCTGATGTAAACCAAGGAAACAAGTGTCACTAACACAGTAAAATGCCTTCATGTGATGCTCACTTCTGTGGGTTTCCTGCCCAAAAAAATGCATAACCTGAAACTAATCATGAGGAAACAATCAGACCAAATTGAGGGGCATTCTACAAAGTAACTTTTAAAACTGTCAAAAAAAAAAAAAAAAGGGGGGGGGGGAGCTGAGGAACTGTTCCAGATGAAAGGGAAACCAAGAGATGCCTCTACTAGACTCAGGGTGTGATCCTGCACTGGATACCACAGAAGAAAATACTTTCCATAAAGCACACGACAGGGCAGGTGGCAAAATGTGAATACAGGACATACGTTACGTAAGAACTACAGCAATGCTCAAGTTCCTGTATTTGATGATTAGATTGTGGTTATTTAAGATAATGTCCTTGTCCCTAAAAGATACTTGCTGAAATATTATGAATCATGCTATCTGCCACTTGGTCTCCAATGATGCAGCAAGAGCAAGAACAGGTAGAAAATAAAATATGTATATTGACAGAAAGAAAAAACAAATGTAAAATGTTAATCACTAAAAAATCTAAGTGAAGGCTAAATTCACTGTCCTTCCAACTTTTCCACAGGTTTGAAGTCTTTCAAAATAAAATATTCAAGAAGTGGCTAGGAAAACCAAGTAAGCCCAAGAAACAGCGGTGCTGTGCTCCCAAGGTGAGGACAAGCAACCCCTCAGAGAATGGCCTTCACTGCCCCCCAAAGGAAGGGGTCTGCTGAGAGGGACCAGCTGACACCTGTACCAGCAGATGGACTTGACAGAGCTCCCAATCGCCCCCCACTCACCACCTCCCACCGCCTGGATCTCGCTTCAAACGCACCAGCTTCAAATGAATGCTTCAGATGCACAGCCCCACCCTGGCCCTTCGGGCAACCATTTTCATCGGCTACTCATATCACATCATGATGCCACCAATCTAAATATGGAGCTTCACCTCCAATGGATTTAGTGTGATGAGGTCACAACTGCCTCCCAGTGACTTTATCAATCAACACCATCACATTTTGTAACTAAAACTATGTATTTTATCAAAAGTCAAGCTATATACATTTTTCCTAAAGACCTGTAGGAACAGCTCCTCTTTTCTCCTATTAAATACTTCTAACCCAGTTTTCTACGTGACAGGTTTGACTATTAAAAACTTAGTAAAAAAAAAAAATAATAATAATAATAATAACAACTGTTCTGGGGCACCTGGGTGGCTCAGTCGGTTGAGTGCCCAACTCTTGATTTCGGCTGATCCCAGGTCATGGGATTGAGTCCCACATTGGGTTCTATGCTGAGTGTGGAGCCAGCTTAAGATTCTCATTCATTCATTCATTCATTCATTCATTCTCTCTCTCCCCCTCCCCCTCCCCCTTTCCTCTCCCCCTTGGGTATGCACACGCTCACTCTCCAAAATTTTTTTGAAAATCATAAAAAAAAAAAAGTAACTGTTCATTCATTCATTCATTCAATAAATATTTCCCAAGCATCCGTTATGTGCCAGGCAATCTTCCAAGTGCAAGAGACAGAACTGTGGGAAAGAAAAAATGAAAGCCCTTACTCAATCTAACAATGGAAGCAATATGAACCTTTGATACAGGAGTTATTTAACATAAGTACTCACATTAACAAACTCCATGCCACCAACACACACTGTTAAGGTCTTAAATTACCTTGTAAGATATTTACCCACCAGAGGGCACTCCCATTTCTTTTCTGTGACTCCTTGACTGTTCCTGGGTATAAGTTACATATTCCTGAACAGAAGTCTGAAATCTAAACAGAGTGGAAGTGGGGCAGAAGCAATCTGGTCTCCAATTCCCACAGATGTGGCATTCCTTCACTAAGGTTCCAGAAAGCTCTGTGACTCTCAAGGCAACGACTAGCATGAAAAGGTGGCAAGCTTCACAGGGAACCAGGGTCCTGGCACCAGAAGTCACTTCTGTAATCTTGAGGTGACCTGCGAAGCTAGGCATCCCCCGCCCCAACAATCATGACATCCCTTCTATAATCTCTAAAAATCCATTTTCATGCTTCACTAATCCTTCACCAGGAAGAAAAAAGGAGTATTTCTTCCCTTTCCTGCAACAGGTACCCAGGGAGACCTTGTGGCTTTTTGGAACAAAGCTCCCACCTAGTTCCCACTCAACAACCAGCCCTGTTATTCTGTGTATCTCATTTCTCCCCAGCCCCACTCCCAACAGATGAGGAAGGGCTAGAAGGGATATAGAGCCAGGTGAGAAGATACAGCCCTAGATCCATCTGGGGCTCTGCTCAGGGAGGCGGACAGTATAAACCAGGTCCTGCCTGCCAGGGTGAGGCAGGGATGGGTGTAAGGGGATGCAGGATAGCCCCATGATCCAAGTGAACTTCCCATCCCACCTGTGTCCCATGGCAGGCCGGGAAGCAATGCTAGGTAGAAGTCAGAAATCATCATCATGCAGCTGACAGATTAAGGCCTGAACTCAGGAGCCAGTGTAGGGCACGAGCACATTAATAAGAGAAGATATATATGTTATAAAGGCCAGGCATGAATTTGGGGATCACTTGTAACTGCAAAAATGCTACATAATTATTTTACAGGATAATAAACTTCAAGGAGTCTTTAAGAATAGGACAAAAGAAATTTATGAACCACTTAAAATTGTTTTAAGCAAATGCCCCACCTCACATCACATTTGCTTAGCGAAACAATGTACAAGTATAAAGCATTTTGAAAAACTAAATATAGTCTTTGTAACTCTAAAAGACCAAAGCATTGACAAAGAACTTTGCATTGTATATAGTAAAACACAACCTTGCATAACCAAGCATGGAAATCAAAAGGAATTGCAAAGAATTCACCATGTCAGACCATTAATGGAAACTTAACCTCCCTTACCTGCCTAGTCTATCTGGACTCACTGGGTCTTTGAAGGAAACATACTAAATGTATCTCATTTTCCATTTTGAACTAACAACCTATTAATTATTTTTAGACCATAAAGTCTCTAACAACAAATGAAGTTATTAGAGTGGTGAATTAGAAGGCAAAAGCTACACAAGGATGAAACTGATGTCTTTTTCTTTTTTAAATATTTATTTTGAGAGAGACAGTGTGTGCAAGCTGGGGAGGAGCAGAGAGAGAGAATCTCAAGCATCAGCACAGAACCTAACGTGGGGCTCGATTTCACAAGCCATGCTATCATGACCTGAGCCGAAACAAAAAGTTGGCCAAGTAACGGACTGAGTCACCCAGGTGCCCCAAAACTGATGTCCTTTTTAACAACTACACTGTACAATTTCTAGGGACTCTTAGGGAGGTTAACATTTTGGGAGTAATAGAGTCTTCTGAAAACAATGGATCCTGTCTCCGGAATACACATGAGAACATAAACACAATATTCTTCAGAACCATTCCAGGAGCTTGACCGACCTACCGAGACCTTCCAAGGACTGTGTGGAGGGACATGGCTGTCCCTAAATTAATGACCCCTAAAAGAAGAGAATCAATACTGCTTTTTGGCTAAATATAAAGTCTGAATCTTAAATCTGAAGGTTCACATGTATGTGATGATTATTCCAATGTTTTTTAGGGGGAAAAAAAAAATTCCAATGACGAATGCCAACAGTGTTTTCCAAACGAGTCCTACATGTAAAACAAGCTTACCTCAAAATTCACAGGCAAGTTCCGTTTAAGTGCAATCTCAAACACTTGACTTATTTCAGATTTATTGAGATTTTCTTCTTCTGATTCTCTTCCATTCACCTAAAGGAAGAAAAATTGTTTAGTAGTGAACTGTTATGAAAAAACATCAACACCCCAGCTCTGATAAACCTTAAAAGCACTGAACCTTAGCTGTATGGAGTGAACACTAACCCGGTGAGCAAGGCCGCTTGTGTGCCATGTGTCAGTCAATTTAAAAGGTTTAAAAAAAAAACAAAACACAAACAATCTGGGTCAGCTTGTACCTCGTAAATCCACCATAAACAATCCACACCTAACAGACTCTGGCACAGCCACACCACAGCTGCTCAGGAAGAGGGACGGACTTCCAAAGCTTTCCTTGAGGACTGGCAAGCTACCTTTCGGAAAAAGTCAGAATACAGACAGATCTGTGAGGGACATGGCAAGTCCAAATTAGAAGTCTCTCCACTTAAGTATGCAGGCTTCTTATTTGGATACAAAGTCCCTGGAAATCCACTCTTTTAAAAACAAAGATGCGTGCAACAAATTACAAAACTGCATACAAAATCTCGCACTTCCTGCTGCCAGCAAAAACGCAGGTGCAAACTAATGAAGTCTGCTGAACAAAGGCTGAGACTATCTTTCTTTTTTTTTTTTTTATTTTTTTTTCAACGTTTTTATTTATTTTTGGGACAGAGAGAGACAGAGCATGAACGGGGGAGGGGCAGAGAGAGAGGGAGACACAGAATTGGAAACAGGCTCCAGGCTCCGAGCCATCGGCCCAGAGCCCGACACAGGGCTCGAACTCACGGACCACGAGATCGTGACCTGGCTGAAGTCGGACGCTTAACCGACTGCGCCACCCAGGTGCCCCAAGAGACTATCTTTCTAACAAGGTTCACTTACAGTCCCACAGCCAGAGCTGGGATTAGACAGGGCAGAGATCTTCTCTGTGCAAGCTGACAACACGGATTCTAGATGTGCGGTAGTGATAATGAGAATCCAGATAAGCTCAGTAATAGCAACACCCCCTCCCCCGCCAAGTCATGGCTAGAGAGCTGAATTTTCCTTCGTATTATTGAGACTCTTTAATCAAGGAATTTGTACAATCCTATTTCCAAGATTAGAACTTTCGGACAAGAACTTGTGGCTAAAGCTGCTGAAGAGGCAAAACGTAGGACTATCCAGGATTGTATCTGTTGTGCATTTCCCTATGTTTATCAGATAGATCTTATACCTACATTGGATCAGTATTTCAAACTACAGCTAAAAGAAATGAAACCCTAAGTTAAAAAACATTAATACAATCAAGAATATAATCCCGTACAAATAAATTCATCCCAGACACTCTAATTCTTTCTCTCCTTCCATGATGATGATGTTCTTCCCACTTCACTCTCTGCCTAGTCAAAACTATTTGCACAGCATTTCTGGTGGCTTTTTAACCTAAAAATATTTTTCTTCTTGCTTAAATCCTAAGCAGAAAGAGGGCCTGACTTTTTATGAGTGAATCCTTACAGCCAGAAATCTTCAAGCAAGATGCCTTGGAAGGCTAGAGCTCCACAGAAGTTTGGTTTGAAATAAATTCATCCATTCATTCATTCGTTCATTCTTGAGAGCGCGCACAAGCTTGGGAGGGAAAGGGGGAGGGGGAAAGAGAATCTTAAGCAGGCTCCACACCTAGCACAGAGCTTGAAGCCAACGTGGGACTGGATCTCATGACAGTGAGATCATGACCTGAGCCGAGATCAAGAATCGGACGCTTAACCAACTGAGCCACCCAGGCGCCGCTGAATTTTGTCTTTTAAATAGGTTTTAAACCTAAAGCCCCACCCTGTATTTTTAGAAGTATGTTCAACAAATGGTGCTTAGGAAAACAGATCTCCTGGGGGCACCTGGGTAGCTCAGTTGGTTGGGCTTCTGACTTCGGCTCAGGTCATGATCT